CGCGGGAGGCCTGAGCCCCGACCCGCACCCGACACCGGGTTCCGCCCCCGGGGGCGCCCGGAGGGAGCGATGGAGGCCCCGCCAGGAGGGGTCGGCGCGGCGGGCCTCTCCCGCCTGCTGTCGCGCCTGCCTTCGCTCTGCTCGATTGTGTGCTGGGCGGCAGGTGTGAGGGGGGCGCCCGCATTTGTGGCAACAGCCTTCGGGGCTGCGGAGGGGACAAAGCGGAGGAAAGGTCGGGCTCGCATCCCACGAGCCTGACCTGCGGGAAAGGGGGTGAGGAAAGCGCGCGCCCATCCTTCCTGCCCGTCTAGAGGGTCTGCCCCCTGTCCCGGTCGTTGGGAAACCAGTAACAGGACGTTCGGGGGATGGGAGGCCCACACCCCCCCCCCCGCACGTAGTAGGCCTTCAGAAGGCGCCTGTTGAGCCGCATGGAAGCGGAGCTGGAGAGAACCGCGCTCTGTCCAGGCCCTTTTGGGGAAAGTGGTGCTTTGGGGGGGATGAGAACGTCCGAGGATTAGCGTTTGTGGGTTCGAGTTCCCTGGGGGAAATGAGGAGCGTGAAGAAGTGAGTTAACATTTGGCGGGTGCCTGCTGTGTGCCAGGCATCTCACTCTGAAGGCGCTCGGTGATTTAAAGGTCTTGGAACGTGGAATTGGCCATTTTGAATCGTTGCATCCTGTTGGAGCGATTGCACCAGGCAGGGTACTAAAGGTGTGAGTTGAGAACACTATCTTATTTCCCGGGAAACTATGGTGGACAGTGAAAAATGTGAATCATCTACATTGACAAAAGCATCCGGGTTGCTCCAATCCGGTTCTCCTATTAGGCCCAGCCTTGCAACTGCAACCCACCCAGGTGTCTTGCCTCGGAGTAAGATTGGAAAATCAGTAATAACCCCTCCTCAGAATAAGGCGGAGGCATTCTTCTGTAAGTGCCTACCTGTTAGCTTCAAGGAAAATAATTAGGAATAAAGGTTAAAGATAGCTTTGGTTGGTGTTCCTAATTTCTACTTTATTATGCCTTCCCCATCATAAACAGTCCCTTGTTCTTGTCAATTAATCTTCCCCTGTCCCAGTATGTCTGGTCCCTCGATACACTGGCCCTAGATCTGGGACTTCTTATTCATGCTTGTCTTCGTTGTCTGAGCTCATGGTGTGAAAACTTCATTTGACCACAAACCGCTGCCTTAGTTGGGGTGATTCTTAATTTGTCTTGTCCTGTTATGCAATTTTATGTTTTATGCATTTAGGCTTTACCTCTTCAACCAAATTAATGCGAAGTTTGAATCCTGCTTAGGCTCTCTCATAGCACCAGTAAACCCTCATTATACGGGAACGTTTGTTGATTCGAACCAGAGCATCCCACTTGCCCAGTGAAGAAGTTCAGCCTTTAAGATTTGGCCCCAACCTCCAGGAAGCTCCCACCTACACTAGAACCCAGGATGTCAGAGAAAGAAGGCACCCTCTCAATTCTCAGCCAATTCAAGGAAAATGAAATGTTTGCCCAGCCAGGAAGAAGGGATTGACATCAGTCGGAAATAAAAATCACAACTTCGAGGTAATAGAAATGACTCAAGGTCACCACTTTCTAAGGAAAGTAAGATCCGTAGAGTCCCCTCATCTCCAAGCTCTAAGGGCGTAAAACTAAATATCACTTCTGTTAGGATTTAGAGCATTCTGCCTCAGTGTCTAGGGCTCTGACAGTCCAGCTGGTAGGCTATGTGGCTTGGAGGTCCAAGACGGACTGAGTGGTACAAGGTAGGGGTGGGTATGTCTGTGTAGACTGCGTGAGCACATATGAATATATATGTACATATAATATAATGGAATGTTATTCAGCTGTGAGAAAAGAAGGAAATCTTGTCATTTTTGACAACCATGGATGGACCTTAAAGGCATGATACTAAATGAAATAAGTCACCAGAGAAAGGCCAAATACTGTATAATCTCACTTATTTGTGGAATCTAAAAAGATTGAGCTCATAGAAACAGAGAGTAAAGTGGTCGTTACCAGGGGCTAAGGGGAAGAGGAAATGGGGAGATGTGGTTAAAGGATAAAAACTTTCAGTTATAAGATGAATACGTTCCAGGGGTCTAAGGTACAGCAAGGCAATTATAGTTAATAATACTGGATTGTATGCTTGAAAGTTGCCAAGAAAATAGAGCTTTAATGTTCTCACAGTAATGACAACAAAATGGTAATTCCATGAGGTGAAGGAGGTTAACTAACCTTATTGCGATAAACATTTCACAAAATATACATATGTCAAATTATCACATTGTACACCTTAAACTTACACAGTGTTCTATGTCAATTATATCTCAACCAAGCTATATAGAAAACAGAGTAAAAACAATTGAGCTAGACGCTTGAGTCAACCTTCTTACTAAGAATGATAAGACAGCAGTGGAGAAGAGAGAATAGGAAAGCTGGGATAAAATCAGGACTCAAATATCTGCCTAAAGATTTGGATTTAACTTTGTAGGCAATGGGAGATCATTAATGATTTCTGAGATATTATTAGAACTAAGCACAAGAAGGATTACTCTATTAACAATATATAAGGTGATTTGGAGAGAGAAAGACCGCAAGTAGAGAGGCCAATTAGGACAAGATCTTAACAGTGTGTGCCTGAATTATCAAGGATCATAACATTTTTCACCATCAAATAGACAGAACTTTTAAAAAATTGATTACATCCATCTGTGCCAGAGTATGGGTGAAATAGGCACTCTCAGATTCTATTGGTGGTGGTGTAAATTGGAATGGCCACATTAGAGGACAATTTGGCTTTAGCTATCAAAATTTAAAATCAGCTCACCATCTGGTACAGAAAATTCCACTTCAGAATATATATATATATATTTTTTTTTTTTTTGCTTCTTTCTGTTTCCTAACTTTCCCGCCCCCTCTCTCTCTCTCCCCTCTTCTTTTTCTTTCTTCTTCTTTTTAGTCAGACTTAACTCAGGCAGGTAAATTCAGTTGGGTAATTCAATCAGATAAAATTTACCTTTTTAAAAGTGTAGAGTTCAATGAGTTTTGGTGAATGCATGAAGTCCTGTAAACACCACCACATTCAATAGATAGAACATTTCTTTTGCCCTAAAGAGCTCCCCTGTGCCAGCCTGCACCCCATCTCCTGCTCCTACCCCAATCCCTGGCAACCACTGATCTGATTTGTTTCTACAGCTTTGTCTTTCCTACTATTTCATATAAATGGAATCATACAGTATGTAGCCGTTTGTGTCTGGTTTCCTTTACTTAGCAAAATGTCTTTGAGATGCATCCAAGTTGTTGAAGATTCAGCAATTTGGTCCTTTCTATTGCTAACTAGTATTCCGTTGAATGGGCATACCACCATTTGTTTATCTACTGGGGAAAAAAATAGTATTTGGAGAGAGGTTGGAAAGTAAATACATGAAGACAAATATTCTCTTTTCTGAAGAGGAACGTTTGCTTTTGCTCTCTATATGAATGCATCTGATTACAATATTACATCTGATTAATACGACTGATATCATTTGAATTTTTAACATAAGCATGTACTACCTTTGTATTTAAATTGTTTTATGATCACTGTGCTGTAAAACTGAAGCTGATGTTGTATAATATTGTATGTCAACTATAATTGAATATATATATATATATATATATATATATATATAGTCACAGGAAATAAATAAATAAATTGTCTTAAAATGAAAACTGTGTGAATGGAAATTAGAAAACGCATGAGACACATTCTGGATGTTAAATCAACTGGTGAAATAAGAGGAAAATAAAGAACAAAAGATGCTTCAGAGGTTTTACGGCCACATATGTAAGGACAGATAAAAGGAAGTCAGCTGGAGAGGCTGGGTTAGGGGGAAAGAAGGTTGAGTGGTGAATATGTTGGCTGTGAGGAGCTGGTCCAGCACCAGGGAGCAAAGTAAATGCAAGCAGTGCGTGGTGGCGGTGAGCCTCAGGCTTGAGAGATGAGGCATGGAGAGCTAAAAAGACAGATATGGAAATCATTTGCACAGTTATTCGTTTAAGCTGTGAGAGTAAATGACTGTGCCTGGGAAGGGAGGAGAAAGGAGAAGGCTGAGGACAGACCGTTGGAAATGCTGAAGAGGAAAACAATGTTTAGAAGGCAATGTCTTCTTCCAAGGGCAGAGAGAAAGGACAGATGATGACAGGTCAAGATGGACCTTAGACGGTCTCTAAAGTGACTTCCTCCTCTTCAGCACCGTAAGTCTCAGTGTTAAATTGCAGGATTTGGACTCTAAATATGAAGATCCAAAAAAGGAAAAGATTGGCATGAGTTCCAGTACCAGGGAAGGTTTCACAGACTACGTGGGGCTTAAGCTGGGTCTTGAATGATGGGAGCAATCGGTACATTTGCTAAATGAAGGAAAAAGAAGTGGGGGGGGAGAGATATTGCAGAGAAAAGAATGGTAAAAAGGCAAGGCAAAGGCAAGAAGGTAGAGACAAACAGAATGCGGGCACAGAACGGCCACTTGCCCAACTGGAGGAAAAGCTATTTAGAAGGAATTGGGGGACAAAAGAGCACACAGGTAGGTTTTGGTCAGATTGTAACAAGCAAAGAGTTTTAGACCTGACATGCTCTAAACTAAATAATTTCCTTAGCTTAATTTAATCCCTAGGGAAGACCTCCTGCTTACCAAAGGGGAAACCAGTGAAGAGATAGACATCCTCGATGTACCCATGACTGCAGGTACAAAGCTTAAAACCAGAATCCTTGTCTTGGGTGGAATGGGCTGGAAATGTCTGTCCTTCTTGCACAGTTTGATAGCAATACTGGCAAGTAAGAATGTTCCTGAGGCAGGTTCCAGGCCTCGCCTCTCTATCTGTTGCAGTTTCCCTCACTGCCTTTCCTCAACACCCCCAACCCCAACACACAAGCTGCCACAGATCAACTGGCTCAATCCTACTGCCCACACTCTCCATGGTCACTTCCCACTATAGCCCCAAACCCATGGGCAGCTCTCCTGAGCCATGCCAAAAATCCACAGTAGAATCACGGCAACAGTTGGTGAAAGCTGTTTTTAGAATCACCCTCATTCTCTGGCATTCGACTAACTCCAACTCACATATGACTGTGTTCTAAAACTCATCAACTCTGGCTCATATTCAGAATGAGAATAATGATAGTGGTCTACCTCAGTTCCTTGTTCTTCCATCTTGTCTTGACTTGGGATCAACTGCATGAATAAATAAAGCCAAACTCACACTAACTCTGTATC